AAAAATAAAGTAAAATAAAAAAAAGGGTAGACATGGATGTAAATGTAGATAAATAAGTAGAGATCATGTTAGACATTCAAGTAAAGACAAACAGTTTTGAAATCTTCGGTTTTCATTCTTTCCCTGCTTTGTATGTGAACTTTCACGGTTACTAAGCAATAGAGCATACAGCGGTAAAACCCGCCTGAAGGATAGAGCTGCTTCGCTTCTTGTTGTTCACTACTGGTGGTTGGCTTTGGTCGCAGTACCGCCACCTTCTGCTCTGGAGTGTACACGCTTCGCCTATGAGGAAAAGGAGCAGCGCATGAACCGAACGCAACACACGCGAATTGAACCGAGACAGTCGAACCGAACGGTTCGGCGGTTTTCATAAACCGTTCCATCCCTACTTTAGGGTTAGGATAGTTCTTCTGGTTAGGGTTAGATGAAAGAAAAATAACTAAGTGGGGTCATAGGCCTTAGGGATAGACGTCAGGTCAGTAATTCTTAGGGTAAGAATTAGCCTACGGTTAGGCTTATAAGAGTCCTAGGGTTAGGGTTAGACGTCAGGTAAGTAATACTTAGGGTTAGAGTTAGCATTAGGGCTAGGCTTAAAGAGAGATAAATAGGGTGAGGAATCAGAATTATGATTTTAGGGTTAGAATTAACATTAATATTCCACCTGCATAGATATAAGCGGATTAAGTGGACTGCTGTGACCAGGCTGAAACCATGTTTGTTTATTTTTTCAGGTAGAGATGTCGATGGAGGCCATTGAGGGTAGGACATCAGAGGAGCGCGCAGCGCAGAAGGCTACAGGCTGGTTAGGGATTAGAGACTGACACGGTAGTGGATTTTCACTCCTGTCCCGTCCCACTCCTGGTGAAATTACTCCCTGTCACACTCCGGGTTCTATCCGGGTGCAGGCCAGTTTTTCTCTCTCTCTCCTCTGCAGGGATGGACGGGCAGGTGCACTACATCTGAGGTGATCACCACCCCTCTTAAGGAGCTGGAACCAGGAGGAGGGCGTCAGTTCGTTAACGCCACAGCGTTGGTAACAGACCAAACCCAAGCCTAGTCCTAGTAAAAGTAAAACCCTAGTCTAAATCCAGTTTTGATCCTTTTTCTGCAGAACCCTTGTTTCTGACCCCTGGACCCAGCCTGAGAAACAACCAGGAACCCGAGAAGGATCTCAGGTTAACCACCGTTCAGCCCTCCTACCTGCGATCAACTGCCTGTCCACCCTCGAACCTCCAACCAGGGAGAGAGTACTGGTCAGCACACGGGCCACCGGGGACACTTCCCCCCCAAGACCGGACCACAGCCTCTCTACTGTGAGTGTCAGCTCCACCAAAATCCTCCAGCATAGTTTCCTCTCATTCACCAGCCTCTTCTTCTCTGCAGAAGCCCAGAAGAACCTGACCTGACCAAACTGCTTCCAGTTCATGTCCACTGCCTAGTTTCTCAATAAAACCTCTTAAACCATCTTCAGCCTCTGTAGTTGCTCTCATCCAGAGTCACCTTCAATTATGACATCATGCGCTATTGTATCTGGTAATTAGATGCATATAGAATTTGAATGGCTTTTCCCTTGAAGCATACATAGCGTCATTAATATTGTCTAATAAGCTAAAGCAATATGCATAGTATTGTTGTTACATGTCAAGTACGCCGGTCGTTGACCTTGATCAAGGAACCTTACAGTAGAACTGCAGTCAGTCCCTGGACTGGCATGGCTATCACACATAGGGAAAAATGCAGAGGACAAATTTCCCACCGGGATCATTTTCATAGTCATGGTAGGCCACTTCTTAAGTTTTATTTATTTTGCTCAGGCTATTTGCAAGCCCACAGCCCGCCAATTGTTGAAAGGGCAATATTATTGCCATTACTGTTAATATATAGTAAATATTTTACACATTTAGTTATAAAATGTTACAGGGGATAGTATGGGGGGATGGTCATTTCAGAAGGGGATGATTTTTAAGATTATTTTAAGATGGGGATGCCATCAAGTGTATCACGTAATTCAGTGGGTCGACGTCCAATGATGTTCACACTGTAGCCAATTAGACCTGAGCAGTTTGAAGGCAATTTAAAGCCCGTTCTTTTGCTGAGTTATTTGACACAGGTCAGTGTGGATCACTGGGCTGTTCCCACTGCCACTAATGTCATGATGGGTTTCAGATATTTTGCCCACATGCAGATACAACTCAGAGGTGGATGGAAAGTTTATTGAAAAGTGACACTCAGAGAGATAAAAACCAAAGATTCTCAGCTTGGGGAATATCCAGCGGTCAGGTGAACTGGAACCGGAAACATGTAGATGACTTTTGGTTGCTCCTTGGTTCCTGTTTGTACAGTAGGGACTGTACATATAAGGAGATACTTGGCTGGACTGCAGACAGGAAGAGTTGTAGTGGTCCAGAGGAGCAGCAGAGCGGACTGTCAACAAGCTTTCCAGAAGTGGACTGCAAACTGAAACGGTGAATGATTTCCTTAATCTCAGAGAGACATATAAATCCTTCCAAGGCTTGAAGGACCAGGCTTATCCAGTAGCTCAGGAAATAATCCAGCCGGAGACCACAAAGGAGAACAAAGGGTTAGAATCTTGGACTCAGAGAGACAAAAACTCAAAAGGTTAGACTCAGCTCATCTCAGAGAGGCTAGAGTACCCAATACTGGCAAACACTCTGGCGTCGAGGTGGTGACAGTCCGCTGCTCATATACTCCTCAGGTAATGACCAAACCAGCCCCAGGTGTGGGTTAAAAAAACAGAAGAGGCACTTCAGGCCAACAGGGGAAAATGGCACAATCTAGTGGATGGGTGGAGACAGAAAAGAAAAACACAAAAACATCTCCCACAAACAGAAACCCTAACAACTAAAAGCTGATTGTTCGTGGTTTCAAATGGGTTTTTGGCCCAACGGGAAAGGACTATTACTGTCTCTCTGCCTGTTTACAGTCTGCTGTTCATCCCAGTCTTCTTCCCATCACCCAGGGCAATAGCAAACCAACTGATCTTATTAACATACCAGCTGAATACCTTGACTCTAAACAGGTGTTCAGTAAGTCTAAGGCTCTCTATCTATCCCCCATCGTCCATGAATGCCATGTTAATATCCACCATGGTGCCCATTTGCCTTCCAGCAATCTGTTTAACCAATGTTGTCTGGAATGTGAGAACATGAAGGACATAAAATGATTCAATGAATCAGGCATCATCCATCACTTGTCCTTTGCACTGATGGTGGACTTCTTTTTGGTGTGGAGGAAAGACAGTCCCCTCCATCCTTGTTATGATTACCAAGGTCTCAGTTAGATTACAGAAAGAACAAATATCCACTACCACCCCAAGACATCTTATCTGATCAGGGTCTACTATTTTTTTCTGAAGTCTTGAAACATTTCTACAAAGCAGTCAATGTCACGTCTCTCTTCCGGTTTCCATCTTCAGTCCAACGTTCAAACAGAACGTACGAATTGGAATCTAGAAACCAGCATCAGTTTTCTCACTTCCTCAATCCCGTTGCCTGGCGTCAGTTCCTCCCATGAATAGAGTATGCAGATTCTCATGTGTCCTCTGCAACTGGTCTCTTTTCATCTCAAGTCTACTTAGGTTACAAGTCACCATTTTTTCCCTCTGAACAGGACATCAAGGTTAGCTAGGTACAATATAACATCTGTCGCTGAAAGAATATCTGGAATAACAGCCAGAAAATGTTTCTCCTTGGATCTATCTTTCTCATACCTCAACCAAAATGGTTAATTCATCCTGAGCTATTTTCTATATTTATACTGCAGAATGTTTAGACAGCCGGAGGACATAAGCACCACTTTCCATCATTCCGCTTTATTCTATCATTATTCTCCCATTTTGAAGTAATGCAAAATGACCTCCAGTAGGCAGCAAATGTGCATGTATCTTCATAAACGGTTAGAAACCGATTCCATGAGGATGTCCACAAGTTGAGGTTGTGCTCAAAGTTTAACACCATGCAGGACACTTGGCACTTGCCAGAAAAAGCCAGGATTTGCATATTGGCCACTGGTGCCCTATGCTCTTCACAGATCAAGGCAGGTTATATTGAGAAAATGTTACAGATGTGACAGAGGGAGAGCAATCTGCTGCCTGCAACATCCTTCAGCATGACCGGTTTGGAAGTTGGTCAGTAATTGTGTTGGGTGGCATTTCTTTGAAGGGCTGCAGAGACCTCTGTGTGCTCACAAGAGGTAGCATGTCTGCCATTAGGTACAGTGTTGAGATCCTCAGACACCTTGTGAGACCACATGCTGGTGTGGTTGGCCCTGGGATCCTCCTAATGCAGGACAGTGCTAGACCTCATGTGGCTGGAGGGTGTCAGACATTTCTGCAAGATGAAGGCATTGAAGCTATGGGCTGGTCCGCCGGTTTCCTCAGACCTGAATCCGATTGAGCACATCTGGGACATCATGTCTCGATCCATCCACCAACATCAATTTGCAGCACAGACTATCCAGGTGTTGGTGGATGCTTTAGTCCATGTCTGTGAGGAGATTCCTTAGACCATCCACCAACTCATGAGTAGCATGCCCAGGAGGTCATACAGGCAGGTGGAGGCCACATACAAGACTGAGCATCATTTTGCCCTGCTGTAAGGACTCCAAATCCAGGCCTCCATTTGTTAATACATTTAATTTCCATTATAATTTTTTTACATTTTGTTAGCAAATTTAACTTTGTATAGAATAATATGTCATTCATTCAGATCTAAAATGCGTCATTCTCTTCTAATATTATAATATATATATAAATGTGTGTGTGTGTATATGATCTTGTACAGCTTCAAATGCTAAAGATGCTAATAGAACCTAAATAGGCCAGATTTCTTTGGTTTAGAGTCGGTGACCCTGATAAAAAGACGGAAACAGAGTTGAGAGGCAAAAGTGAATTATATTATCTGCAATCAAAGGTTCACCAACAATAAGAAAATGTGAGGGTAAGAAAATTAGACTGATGGGAATTTTAGAAGTAATGAGCTTTATTTTGTATGCAATACACTGGTTCAAACATACACACAAATGGACAAGAAACTTCTGAATGGATTAAAATACTTCTGGGTAAAATAAGACTTTAAATATAATCAAATAAAAACATTTAAGGTATTACAGGAGCAATTGCAACAGTTATAGCTTATAGGATAAAGATGACACTTGTGGATTTGGAAGACAGTTGTCTTTTACATTAGTTACTTTCTAAGGTCAGTTCAAACTACAATAGAAATAAAGTTGATGGTTGAACTTTAAGTATCGTATCTTTAAAAAAAATATATCTGTTGTTCCGTATGACAACCACAATAAAAATGCTTCATTTACATGAAGAAAATTAGTTTTCTGTAAGAAACTGTAGCATCACATCCAACCTACATAATCATGCAGGCTGGCTTGTGGGTAGATTATTTGCACGTTTACAGGTTGGAGTTTGAACCAGAAACCTTTTTGGCCTCCAGCTGGCTGATGAGCTCCTTCACCCAGGGTGCTGAAGGTCTGACACACAGCTGACGGCCTGCAACTGTTTTCAGCCTGGAAATGAAAAAGGAAGAGGATAGTGTCAGGAGATCCAGGACCCGATAGAGTATCACTGGTTCACTTCTGTAACAGTGAATACTCACAAGAAGGCAGGGTTGGGGCAGCGCTGACTGGTTTTGGTGTAGCCCACCACCCTATTTATTGAAACCTTCTTGTCATTGAACTGGAAGCAGCACTTCTTTGGTCCAACTCCTCGCAGACCTGCAAACAGAAAACAGAAACATGTTTATCAGATCTTCCACTCCTTTAGTTCCCTTTCTTAATTTCCTGTGAAAATAAAAAAGGTGCCATCTGATGCAGTTTCTTCTATTTTAAGAGATTGTACAGTTTCTTCCTTGTTCATCTGACTTAGATCTTACATCTCTGAATATAAAATCAAAATGCAGATTCAGAAGAAAAGGTGCATAAATGTATAGATGGAATGCATTGAAATTTGTTTTCCATTACTTTAGTAAAACAAACATGTGGGGTTTCAAAGGATAAAACTTTGTTTGTGTAAAATGTGATTCTATGAAGACATGACACTACCAACCCTATCAGCAGTTAAGAAACTGACCATTTAAAACGGCCCATTGGAGGAAATGATTGGAGCAAAACAATGGGCCAAGGACTATTTAAAAGCGTTATAAAGCGTTGAGGTAAGTTATAATTTCCTGGTCATTAATCAATAATGGTTAAGATGTTCTATATTTCGTAAACACATTTTTGATTTAAAATGCGGCGTTAATTCTCGGTGATAAATTTGTCTTGTTTTATTTTAATAAAGTTGCTATAAGAAAAATAAATTTGATTCTATATTTTAAGTCAGATTGCATTAGATAAAAGGTAATTGATACATCAAAATGTCAACATGAATGTTTCTTTAAAGCTTCACCTTACCTTCAGTGAAAGCGATGACAGCCATCATCAGCACAATCGCAGACAGAACCAGACGAGCCATCCTGAAGTTTGTTTATTAGGCAGCAGCAGGTTATTTTATCTCAGCTGAGGTCAGATCGTTGTTTCTGCTGTTTGGAGATGATCTGCTTTTATATATATGTAAGAAAACGCCTTAAATCAACGTCATCAAGGGGGATAACCTACGTGTGTGGAAACTTTTGGCTCTATTGTTCCTTTTCACACGTAAACTTTTCACTTCTGCAATACAGAGGAATAACGTGGTTTCCCTTTTTGACCCAAACTATGGTCTCTCTCCCCGCTCTGGCCCTATGATCTATTTTCATCACTCAACCTCATCAGATTACTCTGTATGCAAACCTTAATTGTAGTAGACCCTCACCCTGCATGGAAGCAGGGCAAAGGTCTGCCTTGACTTCATTTTCAGTGAATGTGGATGTAATATTTTTGTTTTTAGTNGTTGTTTCTGCTGTTTGGAGATGATCTGCTTTTATATGTATGTAAGAAAACGCCTTATATCCATGTCATCAAGGGGGATAACCTACGTGTGTGGAAACTTTTGGCTCTATTGTTTCTTTTCCTGCGTAAACTTTTCACTTCTGCAATACCGATGAAAAACGTGGTTTCCCCTTTTTGACCCAAACTATGGTCTCTCTCCCCGCTCTGGCCCTATGATCTATTTTCATCACTCAACCTCATCAGATTACTCTGTATGCAACCCTAATTGTAGTAGACCCTCACCCTACAGGGAAGCAGGGCAAAGGTCTGCCTTGACTTCATTTTCAGTGAATGTGGATGTAATATTTTTGTTTCTAGTTTCCTGGTGGTGGTGGTGGGGGTTGCTGCCTCATGTGGATCATGTTCTTCAGTGTCTTGATGGACGGAGTTGGGGCGGGGGTCCCAGACTGAGTCAGGTTTTACTTGAGTATAAGCGATGCAGAAGTGGAATGACCTGGCGTTCAACTGCGAAGCTTTGACTCCGGTCCTCATCTATATGAGCCTGTCAATCACAGAGGTGTTGCTGCTGTATCAGATTGGACAGGTTCTATTTAGAAATTAAGACACATGATGAAAACAAAATGTTCTCATATAAAAAAAATATTTTGCAGTGAAATGGAGACGGTAGAGCTAGACGACCTCTTATATTTTCAAAGTGAAAAAAAATTATTGATTATTTTGCCTCCCTTTAGTTTTATGAAATAAATTACAGAACTTATTTAAGAAAATTTATCAATCATCCTTTCTGGAAGTTGATGTGAATTAAAAGAGCAAGCAGAGACACATATTTCTAAAAAAAAAAAAAAGTGGGGGTCGGCATATTATTTTACAGATACAGACATGATAGTTTGTCATGGTTTTGGTTTTGTTCAAGTTTTATCTCTGAGTTTTTATTGGTGGTCTTTTTCATTCTTAGGTTCTACTGTAGGTATTTTTTTCATTGTTTTTGAATTCTTAGATATTTCCTGATTTTCCTCTTGGGCCAGTCTCCTTTTCCCTAGCTCCGTTCTTGCCTCTGTTCACCCCTGCTAATTAGCCTGGTCTTTGTTTCTCTGTCCTAAAATAATTTCCCACTGGGATAATTTTTATAGTCATGGTAGGCCACTTCTTGATTTTATTTATTTTGCTCAGGCTACTTGTAAGCCCACAGCCCGCTAATTGTTGAAAGGGCAATATTTTTGCCATTACTGTTAGCATATAGTAGACATTTTACACATTCAGTAGTAAAATGTTACAGGGGGTACTATGGGGGGATGGTCATTTAAGAAGGGGGATGATTTTTAAGATTATTTTATGACGGGGATGCCATTAAGTGTATCACGTAATTCAGTGGGTCGATGTCCAATGATGTTCTTACTTTAGCCAATTAGAGCTGAGCAGTTTGAAGGCAATTTAAACCCAGTTCGTTTGCTGAGTTATTTGACACAGGTCAATGTGGATCAGTGAGCTGTTCCCACTGCCACTAAAAGCTGCTTCTTTGCGGTTTTAACAGGTTTTTAGCCCAGCAGGAAAGGGCTATTACTGTCTCTCTGCCTGTTTACAGTCTGCCGTTCATCCCAGTCTTCTTCCCATCACCCAGGGCAATAGCAAACCCACTGATCTTATTAACATACCAGCTGAATACCTTGACTCTAAACAGGTGTTCAGTAAGTCTAAGGCTCTCTATCTATCTATCCCCCATCGTCCATGAATGCCATGTTAATATCCACCATGGTGCCCATTTGCCTTCAAGCAATGTGTTTAACCAATGTTGTCTGGAGTGTGAGAACATGAAGGACATAAATGATTCCATGAATGCAGGCATCATCCATCACTCTTCCTTCGCGCTGGTGGTGGACTTCTTTTTGGTGTGGAAGAAATACAGTCCCCTCCATCCTTGTTATGATTACGAAGGTCTCAGTTAGATTACAGAAAGAACAAATATCCACTAACTCCCCAAGACATCTTATCTGATCAGGGTCTACTATTTTTTTTTTGGAAGTCTTCAAACAGTTCTGCAAAGCAGTCAATGTCACGTCTCTCTTCCGGTTTCCATCTTCAGTCCAATGTTCAAACAGAACGTACGAATCGGAATCTAGAATCCAGCTTCAGTCTTCTCACTTCCTCAATCCCATTGACTGGCGTCAGTTCCTCCCACGAATAGAGTATGCAGACTCTCATGTCTCCTCTGCAACTGGTCTCTTTTCATCTCAAGTCTACTTAGGTTACCAGTCACCACTGTTTCCCTCTGAACAGGACATCAAGGTTAGCTAGGTACATCATAACTGCAAGAATATCTGGAATAACAGCCAGATAATTTTTTTCCTTGGATCTACCTTTCTCATACCTCAACCAAAATAGTTAGGTTATCCTGAGCTATTTTCTATATTTATACTGCTGAATGTTTATACATCTGGATGACATAAGGACCACTTTCAATCATTCAGCTTTATTGTATCATTATTCTCCCATTTTGAAGTATTTTCAGTTCCACTCTTGACTTTTTATATTCTCTCTGATTTACCTTGTCAGTGTTGTGCCATATGCCATGATAACGGTTTTTGGACATTGGGAACCGGTGTTCATATTTCATCTTGACATGATGACAAGAGAAGAGGACGCAGCTTTGGTGAATAACAGCTGGGGGAACTCTGTGCCCCCCCCCCCTTTTCAGCCAAAGCAGTCACAGGCAAGTCACAGGAACTCCCACAGGTCTGATCAACCATCCCTCTCTGTGTGACGACAGACAAAATCGCAGAGCACACACGATTCTCTTTCTCTTTTCTTCCTCTCCCTTGCCCATGAAGCTTGGGTCCATCTCCGGTGAGATTAGTTTCGTTTATTTGAGTTTCACTAGTCTTAGTTGAGACTGTTAAACCGAAATATGTTTGACCTGGAGCTGAATGATTTTTGGTAATAATGTCCTATATTTTGAACAGAAGTTGCGGTGAATTTATTCCATGTATGTAGAGAATTAACAGTTTGACCATGATTAGAGGTCGAATCACTCTTTCATTTATTGTTCTAACACACAGTTAGTAGTGCGTGGGTTCATAAACAATATCTAACAGCCAAAATAATAGAAGATTAAATAATATATTTTACCAGTTGGCAATTGACATCAATTGACATCTTAAAGTTTCAGAAATATAAATTCCCACCTGGCTGGGAATATAATAGAATATAAAATCCCAACATTAATGTGACATCCTACCTGGATGGGAGTTGAACATGAAATCACTACTTCATAGTAGCTTCACCTGGTCTGCTCAGGTGACTGTAAACATGATGGAATTTCAGTTTGTTCCTGTTTTCTGTGACAAAATATGTGTGCTCTCTTTCATCCTTTGACATGACTACTGGCTTGGAGCCTGTGTGCCTGGCTAATTCTTTCCTGGACTGTTAACTAGCCTGTGGAGCTGGTTAACAGTTACCTCTGTATATATATATATATATATATATATATATATATATATATATA